CAGAGTATCAGATCAAACTATATTGTATCCTGCTCATTATTATTTCCTTCTGAATATCGGAAAATGTGCTTTTCTAATCTTCTTCTACTTTTTACCAACACGTAATTAATTGTTTATCTAAATTACTTTTATAGAAAGCTAAAATTTCATGAGCAAAGCTTACTGCAAGCTGCCCAGTGTGTACATAAAATCTGAGAAACTATAGTGCAACCATGGAGTTGTTCAAATCTAAACCATTTTCTTGCTTGTCATATACTGCACAAGATTACTAATCTTGATCAGCGAAACAAAGATCTTACCCTCCGTTTGATGAGGTATGAATGACTCTGTATGAGATGAACCAGGTATATCTAGGTATATCTTAGAGTCTAGTATAGAGTAGGATAAAGGTCTAAAGAGAGAGATATTGATCCCCACAACCCAGCATCAGGGATTCAGGTAGACAATGGGGAAAGGAGGAGAGGGGGGGGGGGGGGTAGGATTATCGCTGGACATGTTTTTTTTCCGATGCGTTCTATAAATCAGCGTAACGGATAGGCACCATACAGTTTAGTTTAAATAGGTTATGGAATGAAAACTAATGAAATTATCTGTTAGTTGATTTTAATTCATGGTTCTTTCGGTTCGTTTTCAAATGAAAGCTTGCCAATTCTTTCCGTCGCTTTCTTTATCGGATTTTTTCGATAATTTTCTTAAATTTCTATCGTTTATTGTACTTCACACAGCCCTATACACCTAGGTTTTGTTTCTTGAATTAGAAAAACTCATTTTTGATCTAGGTTAAAGCTGGGCCGATAACGGTATGCACAAAAATTGACATAATTTTCTGTTATTTATTTTCTATATAACGATTATTTGCGTTCGTTTAAAAAATAGATGTTTTTTTCTTTCGAAGAACTTTCGATTAAGGATGTAGACTGTAGATTTTATAAATTATTATCAACTCAATGAATTTAATGGATATGTAAAAGTGAAGAATGGATTTTGTTTGTAAGACATAATAATGAGAAAGTTTAAAATCAAAAGAAAGAATACTTAAAAACACATGAATTACTAAATTTGAGGCACCTCTGAACGTCACATACAGAGCTTTATTCCAAAAAATGAGACATTAATGACTGGAGCCACGAAAGAAAAAAGGTAGAAAAAATTCCGTACAGTCGTCTCTGAAGTCTCATCCTTTGTGGGTAACCCTGCATTTAGTATATTCATATTAAATCTAATAGCTTTTATTTTTTATTTTCTGTCCGTCAAATATTTTTCTTAAATATTTTGTTTTTACGTCTAAGGAAAGGATAAAGTGTAAAGATCTCAGATGTACAGAAACGGAATTTTAAGAGAATATCGCTGAACGCGAAACTCCCGAGTTTCCTCTTTGGAGTCTATACATTTGCGTAGATTTAAACTTAAAAAATCAGAAAACAAAAAGATAATGAATATAAACCACATAAAATAATATTAGTATGTACAAAACTGCCTGACCCCATTGATGAAACCGGGTTTTCAGAGACTGGGTTTTATTAATTTTATTACTGTCTTAAGTTTTGGGCTCTGATGTACACTGTACAGTGCACAGTGTACAATCTGTACACTTGGTTAAGAATTTGAATTTTGAAATCTGAGCCCAAAACTTATGACAGGGTATCGTTATGAAAACCAGTTTAAATACCCGGGTATCACGAATGGGGGTCGGCAGTTTTGTGAATATCAAAATTTTTGTAATGAAATATTCTTTTTTTTTCAGTTTGTTTATAATCTCTATTTTTTTCGAATCTCTTAAATCAAAATCTAAACAAATGTTAGGATCTCAAAAAGTAAACTCGGGAGTTTCGTTCAACGATACTCTTTTAAATTTCGGGCTCTGAAGTACAATTTTACCGCTTAGTGTGTTAGTGTACTGTACCTATTCCTTCAATATATTCAATGTGATTGTGAAATATTTAGCAGGTAATTAATTAACTATTGTAGACAACATGGTAGGAATATATTTTTTATAATGTAACCTTGAATTTATTTGTGATTGAAATTCCTTTTCTGTTTCTTATTTTTAGTTTAAGAATCGTTAAAAAAATTTAGATCATCTGAGCTGAAAACTTTAGAATGGTGGATATCAGGATTACCGCTTAATCCACTCTTTTTCTTAATCTGCAGATTAAATATTGCTTGTTCTCCACTCATTTTTAATCTCCAGATTAATTTTCCGATCAGGATTAAGGATATCCCATTCAAAAGTTTTCAGCTCAGATTGAAAATTAAAGCAATAAATTGGATTAAGAATTAAGTTTGTTAAAATAGGATTTATAAAACTCTTCATAAGAGGCGTCTGAGGCATCATATTCACTGTACTAGGGTGGGGGCTTTTCACCTTAGAATAATAAAAAATGGTTAATCCCCCCTCCCCCTTGTACAATTCCTGTATTTGTTTTATCAAAGAATTTTACTATATACATATATATGCATATAGAATTTTATGATTTCTTCTAACACTTAAGTCTGACTTAACTTAAACTGAAGATCAAAAAGTTAAACATAAAATCTGGGAATATTTTATTTTCATATATCAGAAGTGCGTGTATAGTTCGTATAACAATGATTTGTATCAGACCCCTTTATATGATGCATACACTTATTAATAACTCTATATATTATGTTATCTATCTATCTATCCATGTTGTATACCTATTAATCTAGTCCCTGGTGTAATTTGTCCAACGGTAGCTGGTGTACCTATTGTGTGTATAGAGTGGGTACCGGAGATACGCTGGGTGAGTACACTAGAGAACCCCCAGTACATGTGTCATCGCTCGTTCCGCTCACTACCCCCTCCAGACCATATAGATAGATAGATACAATATACACACCTGCCCTACCCTGGACTTTAAACTGTAATTAGGGGGGATTTGGGGGATACATGGGGAACCCGTCGGAGGACGTTTTATTCTCCAGGTGCATTCTAGGGAGGGGCCTTTAAAACCGTCTCAGGGTTGGGTTAGGGTTGAGTTTCTCCGGCTAGTGGTTGAAGCTGGGAGGCAAGGATGAGTGAGTATCTAGGACGTCCAAGAGTTACGGTTCTTTTTACTCTAGACTTGGGCTATAGGAGACAATCTGTTATAGTAACCATTAAGAAGAGGGGGGGGGGGTCAGTGGGATAACAATTGAAGAGGTTTTATTTATTATAGTTCAGAAAACTTCCTCAGCATTGTTTGTCTTAAGAACAGTGGTTACAATGCTTTTTCCCTCTTTTAAGTATCCCCTAATTTTGAAACAGAATAAAATAAGTACTTTTATTTTTACTTACACCCATCCAATATTTCTTTAATAAAGTAGTACAACCACGTATTAAGGAAAAAATACCAGAAAAAACCCTGATTTTTACAGCAAAGTATAGCAGAGCGCAAAACTTAAGACAGGGTATCGTTATGAAAACCAGTTTTAAAACCCGGGTTTCACAAATGGGGTTAGGCATTTTTGGGAATATCAGTGTGTACTGAAATATTATTTTTTTCAGTTTGCTTATAATCTCCATTTTTTTCGAATCTCTTAAATCAAAATCTACAAAATGTTAAGACCCCAAAAAGGAAACTCGGGAGTTTCGTTCAACGATACTCTTTTAAATTTCGGCCTGCTGTGTCATCTCAGTTGTATACACATGTACCTAGTGCATAGTACATACATAGTACATGCACTATGCAGTATACTGGTATACTGTGCTGCATTTGAGCAAAGCAGAACGCATTTGCTGAACTGCACAATTTGGTTCCGAATGTGCGCTGCCTTTGAATAGCTCAAAATAAAAAGAATGATACCCGAAAGAATAAAACAACAAAAAATTTTTTACTCAAAGTTTTCTCGTTTCTATCTCTGGCCAACTGGTTCATTGTTTTATTGTCTGACTTTTTTGGTTCTCTAAAATTTGTTTGGTTCCAATGGCTTGATGGTTTTCTGATTCAGAACAGAACGGATTTCTGGGGTTTATGGTTCTACATGAGTTTATACTTTGGTTCTCTATTCTCTCCTGGTTCCCCAGGTTCTCTAGGTTCTCCAGGTACTCGTCATGGTACCATGAGCATCTCTAAACCACAGCTGCTCCGTCCTGCTCTAACGTGAAAGTTTGGGTTTCCGGAACCAGGGTTGATTATGCTCTCTTGAATCCGTCCTAAACCTGAAACTGTATTCACTAAAAATATCTCAACCTTTTTTAGTCTCAGGGTTAGAGAATATTAAATGAAAATATGAAGAAAATGTTTTCCTCAGTCGGATATTATCATCTACCTTCCGATTCAGTGGTAGTAAAGGGGGGGGGGCATTCATGATGGTTGGGGAATTACGAGGAGGGGGGGGGGGGATTGCTGAATGTAAAGGGGTGCGGTTCATACACGTGGCTAAAGCTTATGATTTCTAAGAAAAAATCTTAACGATATAGAAAGAAAATTAAATGCAATCTGAACAAAACTGGATGAATAAACAAGATAAACATGAAGATAATTAGAAATACTAGAAATAATATTAGGAACGATTAGGACGATAAACGGATGAAAATTTGGACGATCATTAAAATGAGGATAATGAGTTTGGGGAATGAGGATTTGAGGTTGGCAATGAGATTAAGCATGAGGTTTAGAGATCTGTAGGTGGTTGAGAGGATGAAAATGAGAATAATAGGATGAGAATGAGGATGAGAATGAGAGGATGAGGATGAGAGGATGAGGATGAGAGGATGAGAAATAAGAACCATGGAAATCCGTAAGATGTGAGATATAAAGAAACCAAATCATGAAATCATGAAATACTTGAAAATATAAAAAGTTTAAAAATTATTTATATTAAAATAAAGATGCATAAATATGAAAATGATATGTTTGAAGTGCTCAAGTAAACATGAATCGGAGATTAGGGCAAATACTTCCTTGCCAGGCTTCTTCTTAGGCCGGATGTGCTTGAATCTCGATGAAATCCTCATCGAGCCCTTCCTCCGCCCCTCCTCCTTCCTAATTTCTCCTTTATTTTCCTGTTTCTCTGTATTCTCCTGTTCCTCTGTATTCTCCTGTTCCTCTGTATTCTCTTCTTCCTCTGTATTCTCCTCTTTCTATGTATTCTCCTCTTCCTATGTATTCTCCTGTTCCTCTGTATACTCCTGTTCCTCTGTATTCTCCTGTTCCTCTGTATTCTCCCTCCTGTTCCTCTGTATTCTCCCTCCTGTTCCTCTGTATTCTCCCTCCTGTTCCTATGTATTCTCCTACTCCTCTGTATTCTCCTGTTCCTCTGTACTCTCCTCTTCCTCTGTATTCTCCTGTTCCTCTGTTTTCTCCTGTTACTCTGTATTCTCCTGTTCCTCTGTATTCTCCCTTCTGGTCCTCTGTATTCTCCTGTTCCTCTGTATTCTCCTGTTCCTCTGTATTCTCTTGTTCCTCTGTATTCTCCTGTTCCTCTGTATTCTCCTCTTCCTCTGTATTCTCCTCTGTCTCTGTATTCTCCTGGTCCTCTGTATTCTCTTCTTCCTCTGTATTCTCCTCTGTCTCTGTATTCTCCTGGTCCTCTGTATTCTCCTGCTTCTCTGTATTCTCCTGTTCCTCTGTATTCTCCTGTTCCTCTCTATACCCCTATTCCCTATATTCCCCCTCTTCCTTTTTCCCTTTATTTCCCAAATTTATCCGTATTCCCCCTGTATTCTTCCTGTATTCTCTCATTTTTCCATTTTTCTACCCGGCCCTCCAATATCCAGTATTCCCCTTATTCCTCGGTATTCCTCCTATTCCCCTGTATTCGCCTTTACTCTTATGATTTCCCCTAGTGTATTCTCCCCATACCCCTCTTTTCCCACTTCCCTTATCCTATTCCCCCCCCCCCCCTTTACTATGGTTTCTAGAACCTTGTGTTTAGTGTACCCTAACCTAGAACCCATCCAAAGACTCTCTTCCCGCACAATTCCGTGGCATATGGTGTCTTCATTCATTTACTCATATATACACAATGTGTGACTGTTTAGGCGCGCTTAAACTATAGTGCGCGTGCACCTCCATTTAGCTGATGATAATGATGCGCTACTAAAGATAATCTGTTAGAAGTAAACACGGGATTATATAGTTGTAACCACAATGTATCATATCAAATACAAACACGGTGTTTCAAAATTATAGCCTGTCTTAGTTTACAGATACAGGGTGTCTCAAAATACAGAGCGTTTTAGTTTACAGATATGTAAGGTGTTTCATGACAAAGATACAGGGCGTTTCACAACACATTTAAGGTGTGTTCTACGATACAGATACAGGGTGTCTCATAACACAGAGTGTTTTAGTTTACAGATATGTAAGGTGTTTCATGACAAAGATACAGGGCGTTTCACAACACATTTAAGGTGTGTTCTACGATACAGATAGTACAGTGTATTCATGATACAGAGAAAGGGTGCTCTATAATACAGATACAGGGTGATCTATAATACAGATACAGGGTGTTTCATAATTCATAACTAAGATGGGATATAATAGAGATACAAGGTGTTAGATAATACAGATACAGTGCAATGTTTCAGTTTTAGAATCGAGGATTCATAGTATTGGGTTCGTTTCCAGGACTTAATTCTCAAAGACAATCCAAAATTTCTGGATCCAGGGTTCACGGTTCAAAATCAGGATCTTCCTGATTCATGACTCATGAACTTAGAGGTTCAGACTAGTTTCAATTGTAACGATACAAACTGAATCTATTCTCTTGCGATTAATGATTAACACAACCTTTCGTATTCAGAGTATTTCTGTAACTAGCTATATTTAGGTATAACGATGCAGGTAAAAATTAGACTGACCCGCAGTCATATCATTGAACTTTATAGATTAGCATATAACAGTGTACACGTTGCAAAGTAAGATTATATTACATTTATTACACAACTAGTCTTGTAGTAAACGCCTACTCCATGAGGAGTTGAAAGCCTCCTGGGAAAACATGTTCTAGCGGAGAAAGAACTTTGAAGTTATGCAAACCATTTTCAGACATGGTCGTCTTTGCAACATCTTAGCACACTTTTTTATTAAAGGGACTGTGGTCGTAATTTCAAATAGTCCTACATCAAAGAAAGAGGGACATGCCCGATTTACAATATGTACTTAAAACCTTAATTTAATCAATAATGTGAAAGATGCGTTTAAAAGTGTTTAATTCTGACAAGATTCTTTATTTTTTCTGATGCAAGAAACTTGTAAGTCACGTTTATTATAGAGAAATCACATTAAAAAAATCCGACTTCAAAGTTAAAAAATTGTATATCTCAGTAATCTTCCATTGCTCAAAGCTTTATAGAATCTATGAATCATACATTCCCTCTATAGATGGAGGGTCACTTGAAATTACGTCTGCATGTCACTTTATTGTATATTTAAACACAAAAACATAAAAATATTTTATCAAAAAGATAAATAATTTTTTTTTCTGGATGGGACCGATTTTTGTCAGATATAATGCACTGAACAGTGAACCCACCTGTTATTGAAGGATGGGGGGGAGG